AGGTCCTAGTTGTCAAAGAGGAGTGCTTCCACTATGAGCCTTATTATTAGTCCCATTAAACTTTCAGCTACAAATGCAGTCCAGTTACAAAGGGCTCCTTAGTAGAGAAACAAAATAATTAACACACCTGAGGGTAATTGAACTTATTCATAGGAAGGAAATACACTTATTTTATACAAATCAAGGCAGGAAAGAATAAGTTAAACACTGGAGAGATCTCTTGTGGCTATCTCTCATTACCCCTGACAAAAATTTTTGGCTTGGCCAAACTTTAGTCAGGCTCCGAAGACTTCTCCTAGGCCCATCTGTGCACTTCCTTGTAAAATCGTTTTACAAAGAACCTGCCAAGTCTGTTTAGCAAGAAGCCCCCACCCTCAATATCCGATCAACCTGGAAAATCCGACCAACGTGGAGAGCTGATCCTGATCAATCTGATCAACCTGGAAAGCTGATCCTGTTCCTCATCATCTACTTTCTCCCCAGGTGATGTCTGATCATCCTGCCTTGTCTTCAGCAAGAATCCTGTTTGGTCGGTTGAACCAGAGTTCCCCGACCCTTCATGTTTCCTCTAAGTAATTTTCCTCCACTGAGTCCCACCCTGCTCCTTGCTATAAATTCCCACTTGCCCATGCTTCATTTGGAGTTGAGCCTAATCTCTCTGCCTTAACGCAAAATCTGATTGCCGAGCTTCCTATGCCTCTCTCAATGGTCCCAAATAAAGTCTGTCTGACTGTGCTTTAACAAATGTCATTGAATAATTTTTTCTTTAACACTCCCCTGTTCAAGTGTTGATGGTAAATGGATAAGTGTAACTGCCAAAGTCTGAGAAGGGCCTGGTCACAAGGGACTCAGACCACCAGGGGGACGAGAGTCTGGGTCACCCTGCAAGGTGAGCCACCTAGAGCAGCAGAGGTGTTGGCTAAGGACAAGGGGGATCGGGAATGAGAAGTAGAAAGGAGACAATGAGGATCAGATGCGGCCTTGCCATGAGCTGCAGGGGTGGCAAATGTAGTTCATTCCACTAACCTTCCTCTTGTAAAAATTTCTGGGAAATGAGACCAATTAGAATGCTACAAGAGTTGTTCCCATATGGGGTGAATCTATAAAGCATGTGGATCTGTGTGGTGTAAGCACTGGCTGTGTTGGCTGCTGGCCGTGGCATGCAACCCACATTACCACACCTGCCAGGATGGAGCCATTCATATTTTTAGGCAAAAAGTGTTGAGATGTCAAGGACCCATAGCTGAATCCCTCTCCAGGAATTGCCCTTGGGAGAAGGAAGTTGTCTAACTCAAGTTATACCCCTGCCACAGGGCCAGTCCACACCCAATAACTAGTCAGTGGATTTAGGACCCTTAAGGTCCTTGCGTTGTTTTGGGACAACTTTGAAGAGTCATTTCAACTTCAGAGATCTTCCAGGGACTGGTGGGGGCCTCCATTGCTACCACATTAGTTTTCCCTCTGCCCAATTCTGGGCTTTCTTCACTTCCTTATGAGTGTTGTTCCTGACAATTATCAGTGAACCTCCTATCTCCAAATCTCCATCAGATTTCCTGGGAAACCCCATCTAAGCCACCTACACACTTCTGCTCCCATTAGTTGAGTTAGCTGGTGCTTACCAGCCTCTTATACTTATTATTGTAATTATTATAATTGTATTACATATTACATAAACAAATTAAGTATGCAAACAGAAAGATGAGTTTTGTTTCTACACAAATCAAGAATGATGCTTTGGGAAGACACCACAATGGTAAATTGCTAAGAATAGTTTCTGTTTAATTGTCTGTGGCATTTTCTCATAAAGAAAGACTTGGAGTTGGGGCCAGGCACAGTGGCTCATGCCTGTAATCCCAGCACTTTGGGAGACTGAGGCAGGTGGATCCCTTGAGGTCAGGGGTTCAAGACCAGCCTGGCCAACACGGTGAGACTCAGTCTCTACCAAAAATATAAAAATTAGCCAGGTGTGGTGGTGGCAGGCACCTGTAATCCCAGCTACTTGGGAGACTGAGGCAGAAAATTGCTTGAACCTGGGAGGTGGAGGTTACAGTGAGCCAAGATCGCACCACTGCACTCCAGCCTGGGCAACAAAGTGAGACTCCATCTCAAAAAAAAAAAAGACTTGAAATTGGGAAGAACAATATGGTGTCTAGGTGTTTAATGTATGCTTCCTGTTTGATGTAGAATTTAGGATGGAATGTAATTTCTTACCAGTAATTATAATTTCTGTTTTTTATTTTTGAGAAATCTATTACTTTTGTAAAAATAAACATGTTTATTGTAAAAACTCAAATAAAAAATAAAAATTACCTGTAATCCCATAATCCACAGACAACCTCTATTAACATTTCAATGAATATCCTTCTTAACATCATTTGTTTAAGAAAAAAGATATACACATACAATGTCAAATAAATGGATGTGTTATACATATAAATAGATACACATTACATCCCATATACATGTATGTATTGCTATATATCATATAATCAAATATATCAAATAAATGCATTGTATGTATTACAATACATAGGTATTACATGTTAGATACATATATTTGTATATAAAATGTATCCATTTATTTGACATTAGATGCTTGTTGCTTTGTTATATCTTTTGTAGTAGATCTTGTGTTCTCAACTATGAATCTTACTTATTTTCCTCTTCTGAGGTCATGAATATAAATGAGACAATACGATTAACTTAAGAAAAACCATTGTATTCTCTAGAAACCACATGAGGCAAATTATATTATATTACTAATGGGATATATTTTTATTACCTAACTAAAAGAGAATCATAAAATTATTATTTTTTGGATGTTGCAGTTGTAAATCAGTTTAATCATGAAACAGAAAATGCCAGATAAAGTAAAGATCTCATATTAGCATTAGGTTCATCAGGAGCAAAGGCCTTTATGAAACTGTTGGTTAAACCAAAATAAATCAACTTTTTGTATAAAAAAAATTATCAGTAGAGATTAACCAAAAATTAAAAAAATAATTTTCCTTCCAATAAAAATCAAACCAACCAATGTTTATGACTGATCTACTCTACGCAAGGCAGTTTTCCTCTAAGTTTCCTTTGTAAATATTCTCAATTCAGTGTGCTTTCAGGACTTTGAATATTTATTCATTTATTTATTTAGAGACAGAGTTTTGCTCTTGTTGCCCTGGGGAGTGCAATGGCATGATCTCGGCTCATCACAACCTTCACTTCCCAGGTTCAAGCAATTTTTGTGCCTCAGCCTCCTGAGTAGCTGGGATTACAGGCATGCGCCAGCACACTCGGCTAATTTTTTGTGTTTTTAGTACAGACAGGGTTTCTCTACGTTGGTCAGGCTAGTCTTGAACACCCAACCTCAGGTAATCAGCCCACCTTGGCCACCCAAGGTGCTGGGATTACAGCCTGAGCCACCACTCCTGGCCAGGACTTCAAAGTTTTAACCTGAAAAAAGTCAAGGTGGTTTTTCTTAGCCTTTATAATATGGGGACTGAAACATGCAGAAGTAGTAGTAGAAAAGCTAAATGCATGTTGCTCACCATTAGTCGTGTCTTCGAAAGCAAAAACTTTGCACTTGGATAGGATCATCTCCAAACACCGAAACTTATCAAACTATTAACAACAAAAAGTAACCTGACCTTTGTGCCACGTCTATAACCTTCACTATTTTCTTTAACTCCCCATGGTCCCACCATGAAAATACTTACACTGTTACGTGTTTCGTAACCCTTTGTGGTGCTTAGAGCTATAGTTTATTTGCTTTATAAAATCTATTTCCATTTTAATCTATGGCATGCTTTGCTATTGTCCACATTTCAATTTCCAAGGACTCTTGGTAGTGTCTCTGTGCCATCTTAAAAACTAAAACTGTGGAAAGTAAAAACGAATATTAATCTTGGTTGACTGTAACAATAAAAAGGCAACAAGTTGGAAGAGAAACAGAATGGTCTTAGTCTGAGGTAAAATGCACCTAGTTTGAAGCCTAATTCTGGACATTATTAGCTGAGTAATTAGGGCAAGTTTAATCTCTCTTAGCCTCAGTTTCTTCTTCTGTAAAAAAGGATGCCTTATTTGGTCAGAGTAAGCATAAGAGATAATGTGTATCAAAATTGTTATCTAACTGGTGTTTAACAACTGGCAGCTATTATCAAAGACAAACATAATCAATGAATATCTGGATTCTTTATATTTGTTCTTGCTTATTGTTCAAATAATTTAAACAACTAAGAGGAGATCCTCTACTAAGACACAAATAATTATTTACAACATGTCATCATCATCTATAATATCTATTTCTTCCTACTCTTTAAGTTGTTACTGTTCTGTAAATCCACCGCACGAAGAAAGCCTGATGTCATCTAGTAATTTGGGTACTATCAACAAGTGCAACAGCCTGTAAGCATTTAGTACTTAAAATCTACTTGTGTTTTTTTAACAATTATTTTGATGCAGGTACATAAATGTGATGGGGCCAAACATTTTAAACACTATGTAGCTTTAAAAATCTTCTCTAGGAAATATAATCTTCCTCAGTAGCAGCAACCCGCTAGAACTTAATTTTGTCACTAATCCTATCTCAGGATCTTTCTGTTAACTTGTAATCATTTAACTAACACACTATCTTTCACTTATAGCTCAGCCTCCAGCACTTCCTCTTTTCCTTGCTCTTCTCCCAGATGTCATGGTGGTCAGTGGAGGTTAGGGGTTGAGATCAGCTTACATGATTTCTTGTCTGGGAGGGAGAAGGGGACATACAGCAAAGACACTCAAGGTCCAATAAGAAGCCAGTAAGCATCCTTAGTCTCCGTGGCCCCAGGATTCACAATACCCATGTTTCCTGGAACAATACTTTGATTTATAGACAGAAAGTTTTTTATTTTACCAAAGTATTTTTGGGGTGGGGAGGGGGGAGGGTGGAAATCTCTTCTAATTCAATAAACCAGTTTACTCATTTTCTTTTTTTGTCCATGAGGCATTTTGTTTGTAAATATATATATATTACATCCCTAGAAAAAGAATCCCAGGATTTTCCCTCTTGTGTGTTTTTGTCTTGCTTCTTCACGGTCCATGATGCCAGCTGAGGTTGTCAGTGCAACGAAACCAAACTGGCAGGATGGAAGCAGATTATTCTGCCATTTTTCTAGAGCTTTGAGTTGCACATCAAAGCTGGGGCTGATCACGCCACACTTGTTTAGCCTGCCTGTGAGGTTCACAACAATTTTCCCAGCTCTGTGATCATCAATGATTTCAAATTCAGCAATGTAACCATGCTTCATCATCACAGCAAGAAACCGGAAGATGACTTTGGAGCACAGCCTAATCACCTGGCGTTTGCCTCTTTTTTCGGCATTGTTGATGTTCTTGAGAGCATCAGCCAGGACATTCATGTGCACTACTGTGGCGGCGCTGAAAGATGGCGGAAAGAGAAAGTGAATCATTTTCTTTTTCTTTTTTTTTTTCTTTTTTCTTTTTTGAGACTGAGTCGCCCAGGCTGGGGTACAGTGGCGCAATCTCCGCTCACCGCAACATCCACCTCCCAGGTTCAAGCGATTCTTCTGCCTCAGCCCCAAATAGCTGGAACTGCAGGTGCACACCACCAGACCCGGCTTATTTTTGTATTTTTAGTAGGGCCGGGGTTTTGCCATGTTGGCCAGGCTGGTCTCGAACTGCTGACCTCAGATGATCCACCTGCTTCGGCCTCCCAAAGTGCTGGGATTACAGGTGTGAGCCACTATGCTTGCCCTAAAGTGCATCATTTTCAAAGGATTAGTTGTGAGGAAAACAGTCATTAAGATAACCATTATTATGTGCGGAGAGAAAATGAAATAGAGAAATGCAGCTACAAAGTCAAAAATAAAATTTCCCTTAAGTTGCTTGAAAACCAAAATGACGTTTGTTATTCGGTTAGCTCAGCTCAGTGTTTGTTGTTGATGATTGTATTTGTAGAATTGGGGAACCTTCAAAAACAAAAATAAATAATTGCTTAAATTTCCTACCTTACTCTGCAGGCTGCAACATATCGTGATCTTATGACGTTGGTCTCTCCCACCTAAATTCAAGACATGCTTCCTAATTAGGTCACTTCCAGTGACCAGACGGAGGGGCAGTTACTGTGATTTCGTTGTGAGAGTGCCCATCAGTAATTGCTTTCCACAAATCTAGTATCAGATTTTACTCTCTTTTTTGAATAGAATTTCCCAACTACTTTCCTCCTCCTTTGTCCCTTCCTCTTTTCTTTGCTTCCTCCTTCTCTCTTCCCCCATCCCTTTTACTCATCATTTATTAAATACTTACTGTATGTTAGACACTGCTAAATTTGAAGATTAAAAAAAAAATTTCTTGCCTTTAAATAACAGAAAAGCGAATGATGGTGACATTCACTATGAGTAAACAAGTAATTACAATATGGCATGATGCATGATCTAATAGACAGAAACAGAGTACTCTTAGAATATACAGAAAAGTTGTCCTGCGCAGACCTGGAATGGTGAGAAGTAGGTCAGTTTCATCTTCTGACTCCTCCTTCCGGAAGGAACTGCAGGATGACTATCTATATATACTCTGACAGATTAAAGAGGACATGTGAGAATTAACAAGATTAAAGTGATAACATTTTATATTGGGTCACTGAAGATGGGGAAGTAGAGAATAGAACTAGAGGTGACCTTGGAAGCAAAGAGAAATGGAAGAGAGTGAGAAAAATGGACAGAAGGATGAAAGGAAGAGAAAAGCAAAACAATACTCCCACAACACAAGTCCTTACGCTGACCAGACTGAGCCTTAACAAAGTGATTGATTCTCCACACCAGTCAGACCCCAGAACCTATGTGACAGTTTCTTTTTTGTAGTTTCTGCCCCATTGCCGTCATCATTTCGATAAAAAATGCTTTTGGGAAATAAGCATTATTTATTCCATACTTCTAGCTCTGCTCTAGTTAGCTCAAGTAGAGTTGAATTAAAAGGCAAATGCCCGGCACCTATAATCCTAGCTACTCGGTAGGCTGAAGCTCAAGAATCACTTGAACCTGGCAGGCGGAGATCCCAGTGAACCGAGATAGTGCCACCGCACTCCAGCCTGGGCAACAGAGTCAGACTTTGTCTCAAAAAAAGAAAAAAAAAAAAAAAGGCAACTGACTTTGGAATAAAATAGTCGTCACTTCATTTTTCTACACCAAGGTAATTTTCTGCCTGTTTCCTTTTGTTTGTCTCATAGCTCGCAGGATCTTCATTGATATACCTTCATTTAAGGTTTCAATACATTTTTGAATTCCCAAAAAGTTAGGGAATCCCAAGTAATGTTTCAAAATGTACTGAAACAGTAAATGAATGTTTATTAGGTGACTCACACCTGTAATCTCAGCACTTTGGAAGGCTGAGGCAGGTGGGTCACTTGAGGTCAGGAGTTCGAGACCAGACTGGCTAACATCGTGAAACCTTGTCTTTACTGAAAATACAAAAATTAGCCAGGCATGGTGGGGCGCACCTGTAATCCCAGCTACTCGGGAGGCTGAGGCACAATAATTGCTTTGGCCTGGGAGGTGGAGGTTGCGGTGAGTTGAGATTGCACCACTGCACTCTAGCCTGAGCAGCAGGGTGTGACTCTGTCTCAATAATAATAATAATAAATAAAACGTGTATCAATAAACTCTTCAATCCCCAAAAGTTATCTGAGATGCTAGAAATTTTAAGGCAGCCTGGGGCTTTGAACATATGTATACATTCCTACCATGAAAACAGTTTGGTCAATTTAATTCACTTCACAAATATTTATTGAGCATTTATTATGTGTTTTGTTTGTTTGTCTGATTGTTTTTGCCTAATACCAATGCTCATAATACTATGTGTTAATAACTACTAGATGCTGAGAACAGAAGGCTGAATAACATGATCCCTGCCATTGAGGAACTTATAATACAGTGGAGAAGACAAATACATGCTATTGAACTTTTCTCTGTGTTGCACTTCCTATCTATGCAGCTCCCCACCCCTGCTTCCAGCTCTGAGTCCTAACTTGGTTTGTTCCTGGTTTGAGCATGTCTGGTTCTCCTCTAAAGGCCTTAGATCCCATTTCATGTGAACATTTTACAGTAGCTTATGAACTTTCAGACTGCTTCCTATAGAAACCTATCTTCCCTTGCTTGTCTGCAGTAGAAAGATGGAATGCCAATGTTTCACCTCACTGCCAGGGTGGATGTGGAGTTAAGCTCTCCCTTCCCTCAAGGAAAGTGAAGTTTTCAGTTTTTAATTAGTAAACTGATTTCTAAATTATCAAGATCTATTGTGAAAGTGTCACAGGCATAAAAGGCAACATGAAGGAAGATAAGCAATGCCTTGGAGAGAAAAAAGAAATAGGGAGGAGGGATTTTCCCATGAGAGGGGCATTCCCATGGGAGGGGCTTACCAGAGGATCCTTTGGGAGTCTGGAGCTGATCCTGGAGGCCTAAGAAGGCTTTCCATCATCGCTCAGGAGAAGCAGGGTAAGCAGATCTCAGAAAGGACCACCAAGGAGGGCACGGTCGCTTACTCTTGTAATACCAGTACTTTGGCAGGCCAAAGTGGGCAATTGCTTGAGCCCAGGAGATGGAGACCAGCCTGGGCAATATAGTGAGACCTCATCTCTACAAAAATAAACAAAATTTGCCGAGTGTGGTGGTGCACACCTGTAGTTCCACCTACTTGGGAGGCTGAAGTGGGAGGATTACTTGAGCCCAGGGGAGGTCGAGGCTGCAGTGCGCTGAGATTGCACCACTACCCTGTCTTAAAAGAAAAAAAAAAAAAGAAAGAAAGAAAGAAAAAAAGACAAGAAAGAAAACAAACAAAAAACATTAAAATAGTGGCCCTGTTTAAGGGTCCATGAATAAGAGACTAAATCTCAGAGCCTCAGACTTCCTAGAGAACCCCTTTGTCTACACACAGGGACCAAGCCAGTCATCCTTCTCGTCCACACCAGTGCAGACTTGACCTCACCCATGGACTGCTCAGCAGAGTGACGTTTCTTCAGGCTTACTCCCCATATGATTACCATGGTGGACCCCTCACCAAAATTGCCATGACCGGAATATTCACACAAGGCCTCTGCTTTCATTGGGGGAAGGGGAAGAGGTGGGACGTTCCCCATACTAGATTAAGAGCTGAACTACAGAAGTCTAAAACCAGCCTCAGCTTAGATAGTAACTGACCTTCCTCTTACTTACCTGCTTTATCCCAGACCCTTTCTTTTGTGCTCATCCACACAGCATTTGCCACCAACACCTCTTCAGTCCCTGTAACAAGTCATTAAATGACGATCTAGAAAATATTTCAGATGCTCCATTCCTTTCTCTCCTTTCTGCACCCCTCTACCACATTTCATTCTGCCTTGCTTATATTCTGCCATTTCTTATATTGGCTGCCTTTTTTCTGAACTTGACCTTGACACTAAACCCCTCGATTTGTTGCTCTTTACACTTCTGGCCCTTCGAATCTCAGCCATTGTATTAGTTTGCTTTCATGCTGCTGATAAAGACATAGAGAAACTGGGAACAAGAAGAGGTTTAATTGAACTTACAGTTCCACATGGCTGGGCAGGCCTCAGAATCATGGCAGGAGGTGAAAGGCACTTCTTACACGGCAGCAGCAAGAGAAAAATGAGGAATGAGCAAAAGCAGAAACCCCTGATAAACCCATCAGATCTCATGAGACTTATTCACTATCATGAGAACAGCACAGGAAACACTGGCCCCCAGGATTCAGTTACTTCCCACTGCGTCCCTCCCACAACATGACGGAATTCTGGGAGATACAACTCCAGTTGAGATTCGGGTGGGGACACACCCATACCATATCAGCCATCCTGTGTAATTTTGACTTTTTCTGCTCCTATAGCCTCTGTGTTTCCTGCCCAATGAAGCCCCAGCTTACCTTGTCCTCCTTGGTCAGCGTCCTAATCAGGCTAAGTTCTCCCTCCATTTCCCCAAAGCGAAGGGAGACATTCATGCTGTATCCCTGAGCTTTAGGACAAAGTCAAGGTTATCTGTACCACTACCCTGTTTCCAGTTAAGCCTACCTGTAGGGTCCCCCTGTCAAGTTCCTTTGAGTTACTATGCTCATTAGTTTCCTGATCCGTACTTGCTTTCTAGCAATTTCTGAGGAAGAGCTTCATGCATTCTGCTGTACAGGTAGAAAACCAGGCTATGAGTAAGCTGCTCTGGCACACAAGAATGAGAGCTCAAACTTGTGGGCTTAAGACACACTCTTACTTATCCCCTAGAGCACCTGATATTATTTGAAAGGGCCTCTTTGCAAGTCTTGGAATGTCTCGTCCAGTTGAAGAGGCGGCCGAGGGGGTTCCTATATACACCATATTAGCTAAATAGAAAATTGGGTTACCATGTCTGTGTAAGATCAGAAGTTCCTGCTGTGACAGCATGGCAATTTTCTTCAGCTTCCTAGATCCCTAAAACATGCAAGTCAGTACAAGGAGCATGGCACCAACTTTCCTGTGTTGGACCTAGGCTGTAACAAACAATCCCACTCACCAATCCCATAACAGTCTGCCTGGCCTCACCCTAGACCAGGTGTCTCCCAAGGCCTGGGCAGGAAAAGTTTATCTTTTTTAATTTTATTTTTGAGACAGAGTATTGCTCTCTCACGTAGGCTGGAATATAGCAGTGTGATCACGACTCACTGCAGCCTCAACCTCCCAGTCTCAAGCAATCCTCCTATCTCAGCCTTCCAAGTCGATGAGACTACAGTCACATACTGCTAAACCTGGCTAATTTTAAATTTTTTGTAGGGACAGGGGTCTCATTCACTATGTTGCCCAGGTTGATTTCAAACTCTTGATCTCAAGCAGGACACCCACCTTGGCCTCCCTAAGTGCTGGGATTACAGGTGTGAGGTTAGGCTCATCATTTAATCACAAAGTACACAATAATAATGGCTACCATTTATTGAATAATTGCTTTGAAGGTCAAGGTACACTTAAGCCTTACGAGTACTATATACAGAAGATGTTATTATTCCCATTTTATAAATGAGGGATATGGGAAATTGAGCCCAAGGACACACATTAAGTGGCAGAGCTGGAATTTTATTAATGGCCTGTTGGGCCAGAGTGTGTGCTTTAATGTTTCACAAGTGTTGAATGAAGGCATCAGCTTCTCTGGACCTACTTTTTCTTGTTGGGAAAGAAACCAAAAAACTTTTTGATAATAAAAACTTGAAGAGAATTTAAAAAGCTACAGTAAACTTTTAGCTTGAAACATTTAGCTTACTGTAGAGCAGGAATAAGGACATCTACACATTTTGTATGTCTTAAAACAATATCTATAAATGGCAAAATAGCACAGTAAGTTATTGTATTTCATTTAAGAATGTTAAGTAAGTATGCAAGTATAATGAAAGTTAATTCAATAGTATAGATCCATTGGGAGGGAGCATATGATGAATTAAATGTTACCATACAGCAAATTTGAGATGTTTTTTCAATATATGTCATTTGGCAATGGCTTACTGGAAAATTATGGGCCACAAATAAAACTGATGCAAATATACAATGATTTACAATCAATAATGATGTACTTAAAGTCATTTATAATTCATTATAAACATAGTTAAATAGGCATTTTGATCATTAAAAAGTATTATAAGAGTAACTGAAAACAATAATTATCACAGGATAATACTGATACCTCACTGATAACAAAATGACCTCTTTGGAATGGTCAGAGTTCCAACTCTATGCCTGTGGAAATGCAAATAGGTGTGTGGCAGCCAGTATTCTTTTTTATTTTTGAGATGAAGTCTTGCTCTGTTTCCCATGCTAACGTGCGGTAGTACAATCCAGGCTCACTGAGACTTTGATCTCCTGGGCTCAAGGGCTCTTCCAAACCTCAGCCTCTCAAGTAGCTAGGAATTCAGGTGCACTCCAACAATCCAGGTTAATTTTTTTCTTAATTTTTTGGAGAGAGAGAATCGCATTATGATGTCCAGGCTGGTCTCAAACTCCTGGGCTCAAGCAATTCTCCTGCCTTGGCCTCCCAGAGGGCTGGGATTGTAGGCATAAACCACTGCACTCAGCCAGCAACTGGTATTCTTAGTAGAAGATCTTTCACAAGAAAGATTTATCAGATCTATGCACACGAATGGCTGCCTCACCCCATATATATTCAAGGCATCTCTAGCCTTAATTGGTTTGCAAATTAGCTTGGATTTAGCTAGCTATCAGAGGTTCTCTACTCTTAAGAGGGACAAAACAATAGTTTAACAGCCTGACATAACCTTCTGAAGATCACTGTAAAGTACTGAGAAGAGAGAATTTAATAAGGGACTTAGACAATTTTAGCTCAAGCATTACCTAGTAGATACCAGAGACTGAATGGTCCTAGATATCAGACTAAAAACCCCTTACTAGGGAGAAAAAGTGACTTATTAAGTTTACAGCTGGTACTCAATAAATATTTATTTAATAAATGGTTGTTTGATGGTTATAATTATCCCTAACAAATATAACTGAACTGCCAAAATACTAGTATTAAATTTTTGCATTGCTGTGACATACCTACTCATCTTCCTTCTTTTCGCTCATAAGCTTTAAATCTTATTAATGTGCTAGGAATTAGATTAACCACTAGGAAATCCAAGTTATTCTGTTTTTAATTCTATGATTATTAAAACCACTTTGGTGAAAACAGTCTGATTTTGCATGTACGACAACGCTGTTTATAGATCGTAGATGACCGTAGGTGGATAACGTGTAATTTTTCATACAGTTGAAGTTTTTACTGTATAGTAATATTGATGTTTCAAAGGCAATCTTCTGGCTGTGTGCAGTGGCTCACAACTGTAGTCCCAGTACTTCGGGAGGCCAAGGTGAGTGAATCACTTCAGCCCAGGAGTTTGAAACCAGCCTGGCCAACATAGCAGAAACCCTGCCTCTACCCAAAAAAAAAAAAAAATTAGCTGGGTGTGGTGGAATGCACCTGTAGTCCCAGCTACTCAGGAGGCTGAGGTGGGAGAATCACTTAAGCCTGAGGATCACTTAAGCCCAGGAAGCAAAGGTTGCAGTGAGCTGAAATCCCACCACTGCATTCCAGCTTGGGCAACAAAGTGAGACCTTGTCTCAATAAATAGATAAATAAATAAAGACAGTGTTCTATACACTTGGTTAACATTAATCAGTCTTCTTGATATGTGTCATATGTGAAGGAGCACCCCAAAAGCACCTAAATACTTAGAAGAGAAAGCCATCTAGAAACATCTAGATGTTTGAATTTTTAAATTGAAATCTAAATGTTTGAGTGATAACCTGTCAAACCCAATTGAACTTCATAAGCCCAAGGAAGGTAATCAGCAATTTTAAGGAAGTTTGTGGCAATGAAAACCATGTTGTGTTTAAGAAATCAGTGAAGAAATTGGAATTAGTTCTAGAAAAAAAAATCTCTGTCAAAGAATTCCAGGGGCTTATTTAGAACACTCTAAACAGCTTTAATCAACATCGCTAAGACCAAGAAGAAAAGAATGTGGTCTATGTTCCTCCCACACGTTTTTGCTGTTTTATCCCTTAATTAAATATATAGAAAAGACTGCCAAAAGACCTAAGAAATTTGCTCTTGTAGATACTTTAAATTTATGTTCACAAAATACCAACCCATAATTCTGTTGTCTCTGTAATTTCTCTCAGAAAGAGTTAATAAATGTGTATTATGACCCACTTACTAATAACTGATAGCTAAAAGGCAGCTGTTATGAAGGATTTTACATGCAATTAATGATATTCAAAATTCACAGCATATTGGAAATTAGGATATCAACAAAACTTGTAATGATTGCTTGCCACTTTAGCCCATTAAAAATGTATACAACTACTTTCTACAAATTTTAGTGGCTTTTTCAATTGAGTATGATTCAGAGACAGCATGGGCAGAGATATTAGACACTGATCTCACAAAAAAGACAATGAAAACGGAATATAAATGCATTTTGTGTTTCAATACATACTAAATTTAAAACATTACCTCTTCTCTAGAAATTTGTCTAAATTTTGGTGAAAATTTAAAAATATATTTGGTCTATAATGGCTTAGATAATTGATTCATACTTTTTTTTTTTTTTTTTTTTTTTTGAGATGGAGTCTCACCCTGTTGCCCAGGCTGGAGGGCAGTGGTGCAATATCGGATCACTGCAACCTCCACCTCCCGGGTTCAATCGATTCTCCTGCCTCAGCCTCCGGAGTAGCTGGAACTACAGGGGCATGCCAACATGCCCGGCTAATTTTTGTATTTTTAGTAGAGATGGGGTTGCACTATGTTGGCTAGCCTGGTCTTGAACTCCTGACCTCATGATCTGCCTGCCTCGGCCTTTCAAAGTGCTGAGATTGCAGGCGTGAGCTATGGCACCCGGCCTGATAATTGATTTATACATCTAATCTTTCATTTCAAATAGCTCTGAGAAGGGTCAAGAGGTTAGACAATCAACCCTCAAGTCTATTCAACTAGTTATTGAGCACCACTCCGTGCCAGGCATGGGGCCAAGCACTGCAAAGGCACAAAATGAATAAGACACCGTCCACCCTCAGAACATTAATCTGCTAAGGGGAAATGACTATGATACAAGTTCCAATAGAAGCCTGAATAAATGTTATTTAAGACAACACATTTAGCACCTTTGTCTTCTAAGAAGGTTGTCATAATTCACGTCACTGAGAAAATAAGTTGCTATAAAGCTTACTTTCACTGACAGAGATTTAGTGCTGAAGACAGGCAAGAAAAAAGAAAGAAAAATGAAATAAAGAGAAAAAAGACAAATTATAAAGCCTCTTCTAGGTCTTCCAAGTTGCCCAAGGGCCAGAGGCAAAAGTGTTTTGTTTTTGTTTTTGTTTTTGTTTTCCCAGCAGAGCACATTAATGAGGCTTTGGATTTTGGACTAGAAAACTAAACTGCTCTGCCTAACCAAGGAGAGAACTGGAGGTTCTGGTGCCTGAGGAGTAGGGACTT